CGACGGGCGACGGTACCGACGGTAGTATACCGTGAGCCGTGAGGTCGGGGAGAGGCAGGAGACGGAGGGGGAGGGCTACGTCGGCGTGCAGGGCGGCACAGGCTGAAGTGGACGGGCAAGAGCCGATTCAACCTCCTTTCACTTTCAACTAGCGCCGAGCGCGCTTGTTCGCTCGCTGGTTCGTACGTTTCGTACGTTTCGTTCGCTCACACTCGCGCTCGTTCATGCGGCCGGTGGCGAGCAGTACGAAAATAGGCAACGCCGCCGTTTTCGCCAAGCGGCCGGGCCCTCTCGGTTGTTCTCGGTTACCCCGCGAGAGAGTTCAGAGGCGACGAGATTCCCGCCCGCGAACTGAAATCCCTTTGACTCACGAGGGTGGCGTCAGGGATCTTGTTGTCTCTTAGTCTCCTCTTCTGTAGAGCTTTCGATGTATCAGAGTAGCGAAAAGATTCGGCATATTTGATCTAATGATCATATGTTAAAGATTTATTTATTGGCTTATTTACTAAGCGTATTTATCATTTGTTATATGTAACTTATTGGATGCTAGACTATTAGGTCAAAAACAGTGGTCAAAATAGTCAACAGGAAAGTATTCAGCTTAGATAAAGATTGCGCTGCTCTGGTACATTTAAAACTCTAGAATCTCGTAATTACTTGATCTTATGGTGCTATGAAGTGGTAAAAAAGATGAGTGTGAACGAGCTCGTGATCACGAGAAAGCTTCTTAGGTAGCGAGATGGTTTGATAATTTATCAGATCTGTATCGTCGGGAGCGATTTAATCTGGAAAGGGTTTAATATCGAGATCAAATCATGGGGTATCTTTAGATTCATCTCTCTTTCTTCTTTTCTCCATATCAATCCTTTAATTACAAAAGGATACTAAATTAGATGATAACTTTGAAAACAAGAGACGTTTACATAATTCGGGGCTGTCATTAACATACAAATAATTTCAAGGAAGTCAAAAGTCACGCAGTGTATACTTCAAATTTTATATTATCACACGCAGTGACGTACTAATACTCTCGTAAAATAAGTGTGAGATATTTCTGTAACTATAAAAAAAGGTATCTAAAAAAAGATATTTAACATTGTATATACATCTCTATCGGTATAATAATTTTTTCAGTGATGCCAGTTTCCTAGGTTTTCCATAAAACAATTTCGGACACAATTTTTGAAAAGTCCATTTTCAGCAACGATAGAGTGAACGATAGTTAAAAACAACCTTAAAAAGATTACTAATATAAATTTATTTTTCAAACAAAATTAATTATTTTGTTTAATGTCATTATTAAATAAACGGAGTTATTAGGTGTTGGAATTAATTCGTAGCGTTTTTTAATGAAAGAATGTTATTTATTTCACATGAGCATTAAAAAATACATTAATGAAAGTACTTCCCATCACTTGTAAAACGCTACGAATTAATTCCAACACCTAATATATTATAATTCCATGCGTAACATTTCGTATCTCCAAATAATTTTGACGTAATAAAACACAATGCCGTTATTTATTTATTAAAATATTACAAAATTAATATAATACGTATACATACAATATTTTAATTATAATTGAATTTTATTTTAATTTAAAGAGATCAACGAAAATAAAATTTAATGAAAATTCTGTTATATATATTAATCACAATAAAAAAAAAACAAATGCAATATTAATATCTACATAACAAATTATTGAGATATCAATAAATTTAGAAAAATTTATGTAATTCTTTAATATATTCTCACTATGATGAATCTAATTAAGACCTGATTGCATCAACATCATTTTGAGCGAGACTTGTAATTCTCTCTGTCTCGTTTTAAAGTCTGAAGAGAAACAGGGATAGAAAGAATCTTTAAATCTTGCTTAAAGTCAAAATAACGTTGATGCAATCAGGAGGCCTAGGAGATAAAAAATTATTGTTAAATTACGTTTGGAAAAATCCGGAAAAGAATACATTTGTATTCAAGTTTGCTATATTTTTTATATGCTTAAGATAAAACAAAAAAAAAAGTATTATCGCGTCTTTTGGTAACGATCGCGCAAATGCAAGTTCGTGCGAAAATCTTTAACTAATCGCTTCGCGAGCGAAGCAATTGCAAATGCTTTCCGGGTCATGTTTCTTTACAGGAAGTACCGATTGCGCGGTGAGTCGTTTGACGCGAATAAAAAGCGTAAAAAAAATGTGTTTGCAAGAGAGCTCTCTGCGCGCTAATCGACAATTACGGATTACGCGAGCGATTATTTTAACGCCTATTTTCTTTGCACCGTTAGTGATTATAGGTCGATTGGGTGTATGTTGTATTTAAATCGCACATACGTCATTTCCAGCTGATTAGCTATTGTCCGGAGTTGCATACGAAGATTCATTCTTCGTCAAACATGTACGATTCAAATCGAGTCGTAGCATTGAACCATTTAAATATGATAATGATGACGCTATGATACGATATGGTTAAATTGTATGTTTCTTTAAAGATTCGAAGAATATAACGATTATATGCAATTGTATAAGAATAAAAGCAGATAATATAGAATATCATGTTTTTAAATTAACATTATCCAATATAAATGTATATTAATAAGACTTTTATTTTATGCACAAATATATGGAGAGAATTTTTTCTTAGAGTTTATCCTGAAAATATGATAGTCGTGGGATAACATTGTATTTCAAAGAATTTTAATATAAATCTCTCATTCATTAATAAAACTACAATAAAATATAAAATAAGTTTGCTTAATTTTACTGAAGTGATAAAAATCTTTAAAATATTGTATTGTATCAGAACTACTATATCTTAAGGGAAAATTTTAAAAGAAAATTCTCTTCGTGTACTCTTCGTGCAACTCTTAAGCAATATATTAGCTATAATGTCCAATAAATGTTTTCAGAATTTAAGTTCAACTTTCTGTATATTAATAAAAAAGCAAAAAGTATGAAAATGAAGGAGTCTATAAAATGGAATATAATATGAAATACAGGTCACGTTTCAAAAATAAGTTCCTATTCGATATTAGTAGCCCTATTTCACATTATCTGCTTTTACTCTAATTGATTTTAAAAGTGTATTTAAGATAAGAATATAATTTCCGATCTGTTCCGCTTCATGAAAGTAGCGCAATCGGGTATACTTTGAAATTAATCTCATAAATTTTGTTAAAAATGTTTTTTAATTACCTTTTTCCGACATCTTATGTAAGTTTCTAATTACAATCTTATACCTTCAAAATTTTATCACGATAAAATCTTGAATTTAAACGATGAATAATCGTACTTTGTCAAAAATTTCCATTTTCTCAGTGGCTTGTAGTTCAAGAGAAACTGACATTTTGGTATATTTTGTTAAAAAAATTGAGTGTGGCTGGAAATTCATAAAATTCAAATATGCATCACGTGTTAAACTCCGTGTATATTCTCAACGCTACGTTCGTATGCAAAAGTTTTCGAAACAACTCTACGACTATATCAATCTCACGTGGCAGATGGCTCGTTATCAGCGGCTAGTTTGAAGAAGTCGGTACGCGTACGGCCCTATACAGAATGCAGCAATGCTTGAAAAGATGCACGATAATCAATCATTCTCTCGCTCTTAGAAAAGCGATAAATTGATTGGTGATAACCGCTATCTAAAAATCTTTAAGATGGAATAAGACAGATCATACATCTATCTCATTCTTATCTCGTCTTAAGCAGATTCTGAATAATATGGCGGATCGACATATAGTGTTAATCTCCTTTGAGGATCCTTGAAAACCAATCAACAATTGTTTAAACGGTGTCCAATCTCTTACTTAAGAATCTCTACCGCGTCTTGCCGCGTGCCAAGCACGTTTTGTGTGCAATAAGAGACCTTCTAATCAAAGATTGGTCATAAGAGAGTATCATCTATTCTCAAAATTTTGCGAGTGAGAAAAGATATGTATTATTTCGCACTGAGTGGCTTCGCACCGAGAAAGGAAAAATATTGGGTCATCTAAAAAGTATCCGCGGTTTTTGTCACTAGATGATGTTGATGGTCAACACATCTAGTGTGACAAAAAACCGCGGATACTTTTTAGATGGCCCAATATATATCATATTCTAACTAATGCGAATTACTAGAAAATATCCGATCTCTCAAAAGAAGAATCTTTCTGATTAGAGGGTCTCTAGTGCTACTAAACGCGTTTATTTGCGATAGCGTACTGCACTCGTAGAAGTACAGTGGAAACGCGCGGAATATGCCGAACACGGTGATTTGCACAACGCACGCGTTGATTGCCGCGTATATGCACAGAAATAGCAGGCGGTGCACTCTCACGCTTTTGTCCTACTTATCTGGCGATTAGCCGTGACTTCCGCTTTCGTCTGACTCGGAAGACCGCGCTTCTCCAAGGTTGCTTTGTTCGATTGCGCGCGCGAGAGAGATTTTTCTTGGGAATCGAATCGGCGAACAATGCGATCCGCTATTTTCACACCGCTCTACGCATTCAAAATTAAAAACTGATTACTCCGCGTTAGAAAAATTCCTCATCATTTTCCATCGTGTAACTCTTCGATGCCACATTCTGCGTATTCTTAAAACTTGTGTACATAAAATTGTCTTCCGTATATTTATTCAAACTTTGAAATAAAATTTAATTTAAACCTTCACCGAAGAAAAAGATTTTTTTTTAAATAAATTTATAACGCAAAAGATAAAATATATATAATACAATTAAATTTTTACTGAGAATCTCATAGTATTGCCTGAGAAATCGATTTTTCCACGCTTTTTGACGCCTGAATATGTTCCATCCTACATTCCCTAGGAAATCAGGCGCGATTCAGCCTTCAAATGGTATCGAACAGTGTATAAAATCGGCGAAGAAATTATTCAAGGATAAATAAAGTAGGCCGTGACTCTTAAATGTTAATTAAAAATTTAAGAAAGAATAAACGCGAGGAACACTCGCTAAACGTAATACATACACACCGTACCGAATGAACAATTCTTCCTGTTCCAGCTGTGCGGGCGGACAGAATGCGAGGCGGTAGAAACAAATTCGGGCCCATGTACAAGAGGGACAGGGCGCGGAAACTGCAACTTATACGTCAACGGCAACTGGCGATCCAGACGATACGCGGCAGTCTCGGCGACCCGAACAGCTACTCGACCGCGGTCGCGCCCTTGATGCACATCAAACAGGAGATCCAAATACCTCAGGTCTCGAGTCTGACCTCGTCACCCCAGCACCAGCTGATCGCGCCATCCAGCCAACCCAACATCGGTACCAGTGGTGCTGGTGGCGGTGGTGGCGGTGGCGGCGGCGGTGGAGGCGGAGGCGGGGGCGGTGGCAATCACTTGCATAATCTCAACCCTGGTCTGGACAGCAGACTTTGGGCCGCCAACTCAACTACCCCTGGCACGAAGGTCTTTAACTTCGGCGAGCAATCCGTGCAGCCACACGGCGGTGGGATGCCGAGCTACTCGTCCAATCCCGTAGTAGCTCTTAAGACACTTAGTCCGATGATAAGGGAGTTTCTGTCGTCGATCGACGACCGCGAGTGGCAAACGTCTCTCTTCGGACTGTTGCAAAGCCAAACGTATAATCAGTGTGAAGTGGACTTGTTTGAATTAATGTGCAAAGTGCTCGATCAAAATTTGTTTTCGCAGGTAGACTGGGCTAGAAATTCGACGTTCTTCAAAGATCTCAAGGTGAGTATCTCGAATATCTGACCTTTTGTAGAACGATGCATCGAGCAGCTTCCCTACTCTCCTTCTTTTTTTCTTTTTTTCCGTTATCGTGAATTTGAAATTGTTGTCTATTTTCCAATATTTTAATTTGATCTGAAACTGAACAAGAGAAACTGAATCAACATATAATAACATATGCGCATATTAGAAATAATCAAAACAATTTTGTCGAGAATCTCCTCGACAAGAAAAGTTCGTTCTTACCGATAAATAACTCGTTGCCTGGCCTGCTCGGTGCTATGAGCGGGGATGTGAGGTAACCAGCAGCATTGCACAATCACTGAATGATTTCAAGCATCGCCTCATATCTAGGTCATAACAAGATACGTTTCTGGGTTATGGCGGTTGCCCCAAAGCAGGACCGCGTTAATTATAAATTGCATACTTTAACCGGTCGTTTTGTAATAACTTTTTATTTTTGCTTCAACACGGCGGATTTGTTAACGACAATGCAAAGCAGATCGAGGCCATTTTGTTGAAACTTTTCGTCGACAATATGGTACATTACTGCCTGATCTTCATTATAACTTTGTTAAAATCATGTCACTCTTCTAAAGAAGATTTTTTTTATATCCTTTTTTCTAATGTTATAATATAAATATAAATCGTTACATGTACCAAACCGTATTTTTTAAATATTTTTTTATTATAAAAAACATTTTTTCGATTTAATAAAACGAATACTTTTGAGTTATAATTAATATTTATTTATAAATTCCGATTACAATTTTAATTTAATTTATAAATTTGCCTTTCTCTTTTTAGAAATATATTTATCGCATGTATTTTTATATTTAATTCTCTCTAGAAACATTTTATCGTTATATCATATGATTTTTTGTAAAATGGGATTAAGATGCTAAATAGAATATATAATTACATTTATATTTCTTTGTGTATTTATTTATTATATTTAACATTTGCATGGCAATTATTTACTAGGTTGACGATCAAATGAAGTTGCTACAACACTCTTGGTCGGATATGTTGGTGCTAGATCACCTTCATCACAGGTTACACAATAATCTACCCGACGAGACGACACTTCACAATGGCCAAAAGTTTGATCTTCTCTGTCTCGGCCTACTCGGAGTTCCTTCCTTGGCCGAAACCTTCAGGGAACTATCCAAGACACTTCAAGAACTAAAATTCGACGTTCCCGAATATATATGCATGAAATTCCTAATGCTGCTGAATCACGGTAAGTAAAATTAGATCCATCTATATTCGTCTCGTTAATGATGAATTTTGAGAGACAACTAAGTTAATAACAATTAAGTTGTAAGATTCATTTGATCATGCGTCACATTTTATGTAGCTTTTTAAAAATGTAAGGATCGTTTTGCATGAACGATACAAAACGTGACATTTATCACACGACGCAATATAACTTGCTTTTTTATCCTTTGTTCCACTTTCAAATAAACCTCATTCCGATATCTTGTAATACTCAAATTAAACTTTACACATATGTTTTAAAGTGTATATATTTAATATATTATTTTATGTACTGCAGATGTCCGTGGACTAGTGAATAAGAAACATGTGCAAGAAGGTCATGAGCAGGTTCAACAGGCGCTTATGGAATACACGCTAAGCCATCACCCATCCGTACTGGTGCGTTTTATCATCAAACGCTTTCTCATATACTTCACCTAAAATAAGTTAACCAGATATTTAATTGTCCTCATTTTCAATTTGTTTAGGATAAATTTAATAAGCTGTTAGCAGTATTACCGGACATTCACGAAGTGGCAACCAAGGGAGAAGAGCATCTTTATCAGAAACATTGTAATGGAGGTGCACCAACGCAAACGCTTCTCATGGAGATGCTTCACGCCAAGAGGAAATGAAACGATCAGTTTTACTTGGTAATCTTTGCCATCGAATAAGAAAAAAGCCCGTTAATATATACATACATAATACATCATATGTGTATATATATATATATATATATATATATATATACATATGTGCGTGTATGTATGTATATATGTATGTATGTATATGTGTATCTCGAAAGTCCTGTTAATGCCCCTAATCGTGAGACAGAGTGGACCTCAAAGTACCTATTAAGAGCTAAATGCTGCTAAGGTATCGGACCAAGTAAAGGGGCCCTGGTTCATGAAATACCTGTGCATACAAATCAAGTATAGACGTACATTATTTTACACACACATATACACACGCGCGTACGCGCGCGCATACACACATACACACTCACACAAACATAGAATATATGTATTATAAAGTGTATCTAAATATATAAACACAATGACATATATTTTCTATATTTGATGTTGAAGTTTTAGAGATGTATCCGTGGGGAAAATTACCCCTAATTAATGGGTATAAGCGCAGGGAAACAGTAAGCAAGATGCCTTGAAAACAGTACAAAGGGTGGTTAACAAAAAATATTGGTCGAAGGGCAGGCAACTTTTGTCTAAATAAGTAAAGCTATTTTTCTAATACTTAGAGGCGAATTTATTTTTAAGCATACCACACTGAAGCCTTGCTCTCACTCGAATGAAATATATCGTACTGCTAAAAGAGAATCAAATTCTCTCTCCAGATCAATCGTGCTTCTGCAAGGGATTCAATGGGCATACTTGAATGACAATGAACTTGCATGTGATATACATATATGTTTGTCGCACGGCCACCTGGGCATCCTTAGAATTTCCTATAAAGAAAAAAATATGCATTTTTGTCACACTTGCACTCAGCGGGGCTACTGTATTGTAAATACTAGTTAACATTCCAATTATGTTGTAAAGTACAGATCATGTTAAATATGTAATTACAATATTTTGTGTATAGTTGAATAATGAAATGAATAAATATATTTCTGTTGCTTACTTGAGGAAAATCATTAGCTACTTAATGTCTTCACTAATTTTAGGATCTTATTCATGTATTTTTCTTTATTACTTCTCAAATAGGTGGCGGAAAGGAATAACTACAAATTGCGATATTTTACTATTGTATGTTGTATCATAATAAAGATTCTGTTTAAGAAATAAAAGAATCATTGGAGCAAGGTTTATGTGGTCCTATATTGTCTAGCGATTAATTCTAAATGCATAAGATAATATTAAACGTATCGCAGTTGTTAAATAGAAAAGAATATTTAGTAAGTGTTAAGATAGTGATCGAAAGTAGTAATTTTTTTCACTAATAGATTATTATTAATTTTATTAATTATTACTATTATTATTATTGTTTAGCCAATAGTCAAAGAAATTCTTCAGTGCTGTGAAGGTTGTCTTTTTGACGCCTATGGTATTTGAAGCCATTGGAAATTACATATTGTGTCAGATGCAAAGTTAAACGTGACAACAGAGACAGAAATCTTTTCTTGCATTGGTAAATTGGTAATATTATCCGTTACGATTCCTCTTGTTTTTATTCATGTATCGAACACGTACCTGCTGCAAAAAAGGCTATTTTACTACTTTCACTTTTTCCACCGATCTTTCAATACAATTAACTAGGTGTAAAGTGCTTGTCGATAAGCACGAAAAACTTGATGTCTCATGTTAGATTAAGACTCGAGTGTTAAATCAAATCAAGAGGAACGCAGTAACGATCATTATTACCAATGAAATTAAATATTTTCTTGAGAATAACGCGAATGTACTTATCGCGTGAGCAAAGATTTGTGTCCACATGTCAGATTTGACCTTATACGTCGATATAAAATATGCTAATGTTCCCAAATTTTCAAATCGTCCGGTTTTTTATGTTAAACATGAAATTGAAAGCAGCCTAGACTTATCATTATTCTCATTTTTAATAATGTTTTTTATTTGAAAAGAAAGAAAATTATTTTTATTTAACTCACGACACGAATGACTACCTCTTCTACTATCTGTATTAAGTTTTTATATTTTTACATTTTTAGTAACCACATACCTCAGAATATAGACGCCCAGATAGCAATTTGAATGGAATGAATGAATGTAACATGCATAAATAAATATTTTAATTCGTGTAGTGTGTATAATTACACGTTAAGAAATTACGATGTAATACAACTTATTAAAAAGTATCGTACCTATTGTATGTCCACACGTTATTAGATCTTAGTTAATTATTACTATTGTATTTTCTGCAAATTAGTTCATAATTCTGTCTGTCATTTACCGTGTATTAGTTACTGCTGTTTCACAACTGAAAAATATCGCTTTAAATCATTGCTGTTTGGGTAAGACAAGTTCACGCTACCGTTTAGTGTCGGTCTGATAATTTTGGAACAAGTCGTATTAATCACAAACATATGTTAAAAAGAAAAAAGCTCCTCTAAAAAAGAAAAAAAGGATAGCTCTAAATCAATTATCTCTGTATATACTTTGTATATAGAATAAGGCATATAAAGCGTGACATATTAATCTCCTTTAAACTTTAATTTTAGGAAAAGACGTTTTCTGTAAATATTGCAGGATTTTGAAAGAAATATAATAACGGCGATAATAGTTTTATCAGAGTGCCATTTGCCAGAGTGAATCATAAAGATGATATTTCTTTTTTGCTTCTTAATGAAATATCATTATTTTTCCTAATAAATTTAGATTAAGATTAAGGAAAATTCACGATCCTTTTAACATTAATGTAAGTTTTGCGCTAGTCCAAAAGCTGTATAACTTTGTAGTAACATAAACGTGTAAGCTTGTGAGACATACACGTACATATAAAATAACAAAATAGAGAAGCATTTACGAGCACGTTTCTATTAATACAAAAGTATGAAAATTCAATAGAAGTGCGCCTAAAACTTACTCTCAAATGTTAAAAAGAATTATATTAATGGGAAAAAAATATGATTATTGCCATTCCGCAAAAATGAAATCGATTATTGTAGACGTTATATGTTCTCTTCGGAATCCACAATTTTTATTCCTTAAACGTTTTCTTCTAAAATTGGTACTTTCCTAAAATATTAATACATCACGCTCTAAATGCTTCATTCTGTATATGTCAATCCCGATTAACGACTCGATTTGTTACAACACGTTTATTAACCATTGTAATTAGTGAATACGACAATTACAGCGTTGTGTACATTTTTTATGTTAAATATGTACAGTTACCAATTATGATTGGCAAATAATCTAATTTAATATCTACATGATTCTTTGATCCAATAAATTGTTGGAATAAAGTTTAAAAAGAAAAAACTATTATGCGTTGTTAACACTGCCATTAGCAGTTGGCAATTGTAAATTATGTAGAAAAATTAATTGACTGTAAATATATCTTTATTATTAACAGATAATTGTTCCTTCCTAGAGAGCTAACAGTACTATTTTTTATATATTATATTGATTGAAACCCGTAGTGATATTACTTCCCTTATTTTGGAACTTTAGGATTGATATCAAGTTACGGAATATATTCGGAGGAGAGTCATAAATAATATAAGATCAATCAGTATACTATTTTGTGAAATTTGAAAATAATATTTCTTGCGATTATTTGTTCTCTTATATTAGGATCTACAATTTTACAAAATTTCAAAATTTTTATGCGCTCGAAAAAAGAAAAATAGTATCATAATTTGTAACTCGAATCTTATTCATGTATTATCAAATAATATATATACATATATATATGTACATAGATATATGTATATATATATAATATGTATATATATTATAATATGTTTGCTTTGTATAAATACAAAATTAAGAATGTTGCACAGTGACTAATAAAAATATTGCAATTATGGCAATCAATTCTAATTTTTGACTTATGTTAAAACACATCTTTACGCATCTCTGCATCGAATTATTTTTTGTACATTTTTGTAATGTGTTAACTTGTAACATATAACTTGTTTCGATTTTACAGTAAATAATTTTTGGCATCACTTTAACATGGATTAAGATTATATTATATGATGTATTGAAAGCAAAACATTGAAAGCTTGCTTGCTCACTATACTAACTTTTTCATAAATGTTAACATGTCTATCACTTATAAAACTACTGAAGTGATAGATGTGTAATTCCAATTGTGATTACTCTTAATTTGACCAGGTGCAAATTTAACATTCTTTTCCATACAAAGCATAATGATATATTTCTAATAAATATGCAGCATATTTTTAATTTTATATAAATCATTGTTGAGGTATAAATAATAAGACAAAAGTCTGTCACATACTATATCATTTTATTATCTATAGTAAGTTGTACACGAAATAATTTTTATCCAAGTTTTAATTAAATCGTGCGTAATCATCATGTTGTATGAACAATTAAGTAAAACGTTTTTTATATTTGTTTTAATAAGTTCATAAAAAGATTTAATCTTTAAAAGCAAAAGAATGTAATTCTTAAAATTATAGTCCGCAATTTGCTTCAAATTTTACTTTGAAGAAAATTTTCTGGCATTAAATTTCTATAATAGATTTAATGCGCGTCTGATTTCAAAAACACATTATAAGCCTCTTCTTTCATTAAATTCTTGAGCTCGTCTAAATCGCTTAACTCTATTTTGAATAGCCAACCGTCTTTGTAACAGGATTTATTAATTAATCCGGGTTTACTTTCAACTGCCTCATTTTTCGCTGTGACTCTCCCACTGACCGGACTTGTCAATTCTGAAGCTGCTTTCACTGATTCTAGAGCTCCACATTCCTCTAAAAAAATCATAGTTAATTTCGAAAAACATTTCGAATATATTTCCAGTCTAAATTAATGTCGTAAACTACAACCAAAAGTAAGGATAGGAAAATTAGATAAGCCAAAGCTTAAACTAATAATTAAGTTTGTATCCTATCAATAACTTTGATTTCTATTGTTTAATTTTCTTTTCTCGATTGTACGTCTTAGAGTCTCGTGTTAAAATTAAAAAAAAATAAGGAAAATTGTGTTAAACATTCCAAAGTTATAAAATAATGGATAGTCTTTTTTTCAATGAGACATTTCAGTTTGTTTCTTTAAGATAATCTTTTCAATTTCTGAAATTTTTCCGAAATTTGATCGCGCTAAGTAAAAAAATGTCATATCAGCTACCATTTTTCTTGATTGTCGATCCTATATCGGGAAGTTGTGCGTACACCACATCTCCGAGAGCATCCTGCGCGTAATCCGATATACCGATTGTGCCAATTTTGCCATCTATTGTTATCCATTCGTGCTTATCGGTGTACCATCGTTCTGAAAAATCACGCATTTATCTTA